AGAAACTATTGAAACCCCCGGAAGCAGGAAGTTCTTCCCGTCAGTGATATGGGAGGGGCCGCTATTGCACTTCGTTCGAAAGAAGTTTACTCTGCTATAACAACAATGGCGATCGAAAGGCAGATACCGCTTCGATGACCGTTTCGGAGAGGGGATCAAAATAGCTATAAATCGGGTGTTCATGAAGGGGAAAGATGAACAGATCAAATGTGGTGGATCAAGTTCGCTGCCGTTATCACCTCTTCCATGTGGCAAGTGATGGGCGTGACTAACGATAAGCTTAGTATTTGTGGGGGGTTTTATCACGTCGCGGATAGCGCCTATACCGCCACGACAGCACCACATCCTACACTTATCCAAGCCTCTCACCTCTAGACTGTCCATCTTTCCCCTTCATGAACACCCGATTTATAGCTATTTTAGTCATTAAAAGCAAGCTCGGGGATAAAATAAGGGGAATCCCTGTTGAACTATGAAGTACTGGGTGCTAAGTGAATCGAAGTTGAAGAAAAAAGCAGGAAATACCAAAGAAGTCCAAAATTAGAAATTCCTCTTCGTTAGTCGCTTACAAGCCAGGGCTGGGAAGAATTACGTGTCTGAACGTGTTCACAGCAACTGCTGGCTTTCGTGCCAAACGACACCTTCATAAAAACTCAGCGATGAAAATTGATTCCTTCCAATTTGCTTATTTTTCTGCTTATCTTTGCTTTTTTGCCCATCATGGAAAAAATTGATTCTCAGTAAACCGAATGACAACGTTCTCAAAATGGTCGTAACATAGGACTTTGATGTTGAACTTCGCAGTTGAAATCCGCTAAATATTCCCCTACGACTTTCCAAACAACGGCTTAACATCTAGCGTTCCAAGTGGTTGCGGAAGATCACGTGGAACGGCGGGCTCAATGGGGTTGGCCCAATGCTCCGTCCTTGGCTCATAGCGCCTACAATTAGCCTTATCAAACCACCGCCAATTCTGCAAGCTCCGCGCTTGCATACGACTGCATATTTGACGGTGGAAAGCTAATTCCCAACCCAAAATCCCGAAACTTGTCTTTAAGTGCTTGCAATGACGTGATTACATCATTATCATGATCCTACCACATTCTTATATGCAGTGCGTTTAGAATAGAGCAAAAACTGGTGTGTGACTTTCACGCAATAAAAAAGCCTTACTTGGTGAATACGGTGCATTCGATTATTTTCAACCTTCATCACGTGAATGCCAATTGTTACGTAAGGATCTCGTTTTTTCATTCCTTCGTTATTTTCGCTCTGAGTTAATGCCAACATAATTTCTCCTGGCTTGGATACGTTGAGAAGAAACTGAAATGAAAAAATTAAACAACGCGACCATATAATAATGAAATGCATATTCTGGAGAAAAAAAAAGCCCACGATAGTATAGAACAATAGATCGAGTAAATGTAAGCGCTGGATACAGTAACCCACCTGTGGATTATTGCAGCATGTGGCTGAGAAATTGAGGCAACCACCGGCAAAATCATTCGGAGCACCACTTTTTGCTCCATTTGTTGTCCACTCTCCATAAAATACCTTTTCGTGATACCTTAGACAGGAATAAATTTCATAATCCATTTGAGAAACTCAACTTTTAGCCGAGAACTGAGCAGATCACAAATTTTCGTGCAAAATGGTGCATGCTTGATTAAGTCTAAATTTCACAATATTACGACTAACAAGGAGCAGTGCTGCAGTTCTACTACTTCGGAAGAGAACTACGGCGATTGGAATTCTGCTAAAGACGACAAATTTGATTTGATTGAGAGCCTGTGCGTGGACGTGCATGGCTATGGGTGTGAACCTTTATAAATGTGTGTACGAGTATTCGAGGTTTAGCATGCATGTGTATCGATGCTTAACTTCACACACATACGACACGCGCAAATCGCTCATGCCACCCACCCCATGGTTCTTCTATCAAGAATTCGGTTCGGATTTACATGACCTGACACAAGAACCAACGTTTTTGGCATATTTGGAAACCTAGAAACGTAACAATTAATCTTCATTAGTTTGTTCGCTAAGTTTGTTTTTCCAAGGAAAATGTATTGCATAAATGTGAAAAAGCTAAAAGTAATGCTAAAGTACGCGGCATTCGTCTGTATCCTCTCGGAAGACGCAGTGCATTCTACCTTCATATCGAACCTACACGATAATATGACTTACAGACGCCGCTTAGTGATCAGATTGCCCCACAATCCTGATAACATTTATTATGAAAACATTTATTACTGGAAATTCACAGAAAAATTTAATACTTTAGACATGCCCGCGGGGTACCACTATGGTGTTGGTCTCCCTAAACAGATATCCTGCTTATTTGTTAGCGGTTGCCCACAACTGCAACTCATATTTTTTAGGGACCCTTTACTAGTCGTTTTCTCCAATAAGCACCAGCTAGAGGCCTCACGGCCGAGTGCACAAAACTCGACCAAGAGGTAGCCGAGCGCACACTGTTTATATTGCTTTCTTACGTCTGCTTTATGCAGCTTATAAATACCGCTGTTTAACTTCTACCCACGGTTCCACTCTACTTCTGTGCATATCTGTCATCCTAAATCATCAATGCAACCTTGCGTTAAAAGCCATTTAGCTTTACCAACGTTTCATCACACACTTGCTAAGGTTCCCTCACCGCATAATACACTTTACAATCTGGTGTGGGGGGGGGGGGGGGGGGGGGTGGGGGGGGGGGGGGTGCGCTGGGAACCTCGCGGCAGGAAACGACCTCGCGGTCGGCCCCCTCTGCGATGGCAAGACTCTCTTGCTCACAGAAACAATATTTGCGATTCTAATTCAATTAAGGTATTAGTCCATTGGACGACATTGGCTCAAGATAGAACATCGTGGAAAAGAAGTTTGGAGCCGCGCAAGAATCTACAGCTGATACGGTCCGCCAAATCCATCCAATAAGTAAAGTAATATCGTAATTGTCCTAATCACGCACACTACAACCAATGAAAATAACCAATGCGACGTTGATCCTTGCGCCGTACGAACCCGCACCCACTATCTCTCCCCCCCACCCTTCTTCGGCTAATTACGATCCCCTAGTTGAACTGTGACAACGGACGGTTGAAACTGTACGGAAAATCGCTGAAGTCGACAGATGAAACTAATTATTTCAGCATCTGATGCAGTGGATGTGAAAGAAAGAAACGCGTTTTTTCATAATAAGAACGTTTCCCTATTGATAAACTGGTGAAAAAGGAATCGAACGCACTTCCTTGACGTAGACAACACCTTCGTATTTATCAATTGACACACAGATATATCAGTGAAATACTGGATGAAAGAATCCCATGGCATCCTGTAATGATAGCTTTACAAATCGACGATTACATAATTATCACTTCTCATTCACTTCTTAAATTCCTTCTTAAAACAGAAATTAACAGCTTTCAGCCCCATCTGATTGATACAGCCACGGGTGCTTCTGCAGGATGCTTAGCATAGAGCAACAATCTTTTATCAGCTGTAACGCCGTTGTTCAGCCACCGGGTCTGGATGGAATAAAAATGGAAGAAGCAGACTGAACTCGTGTCACACACATGTGATTACTGGTCATTTCATTAGATTTCTTTGTCCAAGCCTCTGCAATTTTCCAAAGGAGAGCAGACCTCTTCCAACCGTCTACCTGGAAGGCCTCGATGTGTCGGTCATATAACAAAATGAGTCGTGTGAGCTGCCTCCAATAGACGAACACAGCAGGTCCAAATACACTGGTGTGCAAAACTTAAGGTTGAGATGGATAAATTGACATAACTTATTAACAATTCGATGGAATTGGATGAAACTGTGCAAGCATAATGCTAGAAGCCTTACAGTCATGGGCATGAAGTGGGCCTCATATATCTTGCATCCGGCTTCAATCTGGAGCCTAAAGGGAGTGGCCACCCAGAACGAGGGGTTTGGTGGGACAGGACAAGAGGGAGTGTACTGAGCAGGGAGAAGTTACTGTGGAATGTAGTGGTGTTCTTGATTACAGCAAGTCTCAGAGACAACACGAGGGTGACTTCACGCGAGGAAGAATCCCCGGGAAACTGGAAGAAGGAAGATTTGTAACGAGTGTGGTCCAGGAGTTTGATGTTGCTCACACCATTGTTTTGTGCGCATAAGCAATATGGACTGCAGCCACTGCTGCCCCTAGAAGAGTAGGTGGTGGATCACGATCAACCGCAACAGCAGGTGATTGCTACGTTTTGCAACAGGCAAGAATGGACCCACGTCAGTCACAGGCTGCAGTTGCAAAAACATTTATCAGGATTGTAAGGCACGTAATCCCAGGCTGAACAGTGGTACAGTGACCGCATAGGCATGGTCTCTCTGACCGACCAACAGTATCTGGTGTTCCTTCGAAACCCGCGCATCGGCGGGAACATTTGCTAGGTGCCGGGACATTAGCGATGGACCACCGATTTGGTTGATCGCGTGTTCTTCTCAGTTAAGATCAAATTGGATGTAAGTAGTGATTTTGGACTTACCGCATGTGGCGAGAATAGGAATCATGTAATGCACCCAGGACCATCGTTCAACATGATTGTTTTGATAGTCCATTCGATAT